TATATGAAAAAACCTTACTGACTGGTTAGACAAAGTTCTTAGATGCAACACTGAAAGAGTATAAATAAAAGCAAAATTTATAAGTTGGACTAATAAGCTTTTCTCTGTGAAAAGATACTGTTCAGTGAAAAAAAAAATCCCACTGACTGGAAGAACATCATTGCAAATCACTTATGAAAGATTTCTTTCATCCAGAACTCAAAACTCAACAATAAGAACAAAATGCAATTATAAAACAGGCAGATTTTTAACAGATACTTCACCATAGAAGATTTAGTCATTACAAAAATGCAAATTAAAACCACAATGAGATGGAAGTATTCTCCGTTAGAATAACTGTAATTTAGAAAAATCACTAAGTGCTGGGAACTATGTAGAGCAGCTGAAATTCATACATTCCTGGTAGAAGTGCAAAATGATAGAGCCGCTCTGGGAAGCAGGTTGGTGGTTTCCTATAAAGTTACTGTGTGACTCAGCAGTCTCTTCTGGATGGGTACCCAGGAGAAATGAAAACTCATGTTCATGGAAAAAAACCCGTATGTAAATGTTCATAACAACTTTATCTGTAATAACCAAAAACTATAAATGTCTCAAGTGTTCTTCAGCTGTTAAAAGAATAGGCCGTGTGCAATGGTTCACACCTGTAATTTCAGCACTTTGGGAGGCCGAGGCAGGGTCGGAAGGATCATTTGAGGTCAGGAGTTCTAGACCAGCCTGGCCAACATGGTGAAACGCCACCTCTACTAAAAATATAAAAACTTAGCCGGGGCCTGGTGGTGGGTTCCTGTAATCCCAGCTATTTGGGATGCCGAGGCAGGAAAACCGCTTGAACCTGGAAGGCAGAGGTTGCAGTGAGCTGAGATTGCATTACTGCACCCCAGCCTGGGTGACAGGAGCGAAAACTCCATCTTCAAAAAAAAAAAAAGGATGAACTATGGTATATCCATACAGTAAAATCTATTCAGCAATGAAAAGGGACAAACTATAACTACGTGCAATAACCCCAGATGCATCATGCTAAATGAAATGATCTAGATTCAAAGGATACATGCGCTGTGATTTCATTTATGTGAAGTTCTGGAAAAAGTGAACTATAGGACAGAGAACAGATCACTGCTTACCGGGGATGAAGACTGGAGATGGGTTTTGATTGCACAGTAACAGCACAAGAGAATTTGGCTGGGTCGTGGACTTGTTCTTTAAGTGGCAGCAAGGGCTGAGTAGTGGATGGAGTACGCAAGCAGACTCAAAGAATTTGCTATAGAAGGTCGGGCGCAGTGGCTCATGCCTGTAATCCCAGCACTTTGGAAAGCCGAGGCAGGCAGGTCACAAGGTGAAGAGATTGGGACCATCCTGGCCATCACAGTGAAACCCCGTCTCTACTAAAAATACAAAAATTATCTGGGCATGGTGGTGCGCGCCTGGAGTGCCAGCTACTTGGGAGGCTGAGGCAGGAGAATCACTTGAACACAGGAGGCAGAGGTTGCAATGAGCTGAGATTGTGCCACTGCACTCCAGTCTGGCGACGGAATATGACTCCGTCTCAAAAAAAAAAAGGAAAAGAATTTGCTATAGAAGTGTAAATTGTCTCGTTATAACTCAGATGTAAAAAGAAAATATATATATATAAATTGGTACAGTCATTTTGGAGAGCTATTTCACATGCTCTGGTAAAGTTGAAAATGGTCACATACTACAACACAAGTATACTTCTAGATTTATACCCAAATGAAATTGTCATACCTTTGCTTAATGAGAAGACAACAATGTTTACAGCAGTATTAGCTAATTGTAAAAGTAGAAGCAAGCTAAATGCCCAGTACGAGAGTGGACACACAGTGATTTATTTCTGTAATTGGTATGAGCTTTTAAAATATGTGGAACAATACCACATATTTTTATAGCTATGTAAGTATGAAAATATTAAATATGCATTAAATAAGTGAAATTAATAATAATTAGATTGCCCTTACTCTTCATTGAAATATTTCATGAAAAGATAATTTCATATTCACAAATTTTTTAGGAATGTTACCTGGAGAATTGACTATAGGAGAATATTGTATTGCTTTTAGTAAAAGTAAATTGTTTTTTGAAAGTTAAAAAAATTATACAGTTGACATGGGAATTGAATCAAATTTTAAAATTTAAATAAATGTGTAAATAGGCCAGGCACAATGGTTCACACTTATAATCCCAGCACTTTGGGAGGCTGAGACAGGCTGATCATTTGAGTTCAAGAGTTCAAGACCAGCCTGGGCAATGTGACGAAACCCTGTCTTTACTAAAAATACAGAAAATTAGCTGGGCATGGTGGTGCATGCCTGTAGTCCCAGCTATTTAGGAGGCTGAGGCACAAGAATCACTTGAATCTGGGGGGCAGAGGCTGCAGTGAAAGCCACCATCATGCCACTGAACTCCAGCCTGGGCGACAGAGTGATACTCTGTCTAAAAAAAGAAACCAAACAAAAAAAGTGTCATTACATGGTTTTATTTAAGAAATCTAAATTAAATGTTAAAAGTCACCATAACCCTTGAATACTCAATGTGAGAAACTTGTCAACGGGTGACACTTAAGAAAAATATCCATTTATAAATATACAAGAAAGGCCAGTCACAAAAAAATTGTGACCGATGCTTGCAATCCCTGCACTTTGGAAGGCCAAGGCAGGAGGATTATTTGAGCCTGGGAGTTCCAGACCAGCCTAGACAACATGGTGAGACCCTGTCCCTATTTTCTAAATTTAAAATATATTTTAAAAATAAAATAAATATACAAAAAAAGACTTTTATCAGTGGCCTTTTCATGATAATAGCTTTCTGGGGATTTTGTTTCTGTTGGGGTCTTTGGGGGCTCTAGTAAATAGCATCACTTTTTCCTGCTGGCATGCTGAACCAATTGAGAAATAAAAGTGTCAGTGTGGGGAACAGTCTCTTTACCATAGTGAAGGCTAGGATAGAGCAGCATAGAGAGATGATCTAATTAGTGTTGCCAGCTCCTCCTTACCCACCAGTTCCACCTCTCACTTAAGTCTAGAACAGTCCGTCTTGCTCCAGGGAAAGTTCGAATCTGCAGAGCAGACTGGCCTACCTAGTCCCACTTCCTACAGAGGGAGGGAAAAAGAAACCAAACTCCCGCCATCCAGGTAATTTTCCCTGCCTCCCTGGGTAGGATATAGGGATAGAGTAAGAGGCCACTTACTTAATAAAAGATGTAAGTAAAAGATCCCGTCTAATGCAATCTGGAGTGAAAGAAAAGTAAAGTTTATGCCCTTCTCCTAACATTGCAATTTGTCAGATTGATGTTATGAATATTTCTCAAAAAACATGTTGAATTAAACAATTAACTTCAACATGTATCTGTATTTACAGTAGAAAAGTGCTATGATCTTGTTATAATTTATCTTTAACTTGATTTTTTAAAACAAAATTGTCTTCAAGAGCATTTATTATAGCCTTATATAATACTGTTTATTTAGACCTACTTGATTATTCTACTGATATTTCTACCATGTCATAGTTTTACAAGCCTAGTCACTTTCTCATTGCCTCCCATGAGCAAAAATTATACTGGATGAAACTGAGCCAGTGACCTTCCACTGGAAGACCTCTGTCTAGTGGAAGACGGAAGTCATTAAAGCTTTAGGGCTCGCCACCACAGAGTGTGAGCAGAAGGTTTGGGTTATATAAGTGATGGAAAACTAATGATACATTTAAGAAAATATATTGTTTCTGTGTTAAAATACATGCATGAATACTTTGTAAAGTTTTGAACTGGAAGTCCTATTACATTACCAGTTTTCCCCCATTCTCACAGAAGAGCTGAACCAGTGACTTCAAATAAACTAAAATTACTTAGTCCAAATGTAATTAAGCTATATTTCGTACTTTGTTTTCTCTTAGTTTTATGCCATCAAGGTATTTGGTGGGGAGGGGAATATATGACATAACTTTTTTTTATTAATCCCTTTGAAATGAAAGGTGGGGTACATACTGCTCCCTCAGAGTTAATAGCTAGGAAGTGAATATTCGATGTCTTAAATGGAAATTCAAAGGTAATCTTTGTTCACTCACTCAAATTTTATTTTAACTGTAGAGTTACATAGGAGCAACTAGAGCCCAATGGGAACACTGTGTGAGTGTGTAAGACACCTTATGGAGTGGAAAGAACGTACATTTAGAGCCAAACCAACCTGGGTTTAATCCTTGCCACCAAATAATAGAGTCATCTCTGCCCACAAAAAAACACGACACCTACTTCATTAGGTTTTTCAGGAGATTGATGCTTAAAATCTAAGTTCACAATCTGAAGGAAATCTTCAAACAAGAATGGGTCAAGTGTGTTTGGGAAATAACCTAGTACCATTTAGCTATAACATTTGAGTGGGGCGTGCTAATAGCGCTTCCTTTGATAGTACAGTTGATGTCTGCCTTTCTGAAAATGCAGGTATCGTTAAGAGGTGAAATCATAAAACAACTGTGTAGAACAGTGGGCTGTTGTGTAAATAAATAATAGGACATCCAGGAAGAGGCTAAGAGTATAGATAAAAACGTTTTTATATGTTACAGCAAAAGTAGGATGTGTATATATTACAATTAAAAACAGCTTTTTAAAATATGCAGTAAAACAGAAACTCACCAATTAATCACATGCATTGTTGGAATAATAGAATTATGAGTGATTATTTTATTCTCCCCCGTCCAGTACCATGAGACTGCTTTTATAATGAGAAAAATGTGAGATAGTTATGCCTTGTGAAACAAAAAGCTTCTTCTCTTTATAGACAAAACACAAAGTAAGTTTCTTAATGCTTGGTTCCATTATTAAGACAAGCAAAGAAATAGATCATTAGTCTATTTAGTCATCAGCCATTTATCTATTATGGTTTTCTGTCATCTGCCGTTATTCAGTGTACCATGTTATCTGTGGAAAATAGAATTAGAAAACTGCAAATTTAATGTATCTTTTTAAAAGCAGTGTTTTTGTGTTAATGTTACAGATTTATTTGAGGTTTCTAGATTATCAAATGGAGCACTCAAATGAATGCAAGAGAAACTTCGTTGCAGTCTATGATGGAAGCAGTTCTATTGAAAACCTGAAGGCCAAGTTTTGCAGCACTGTGGCCAATGATGTAATGCTTAAAACAGGAATTGGAGTGATTCGAATGTGGGCAGATGAAGGTAGTCGGCTTAGCAGGTTTAGAATGCTGTTTACTTCCTTTGTGGAGCGTAAGTAAATAATTCCTATAGTATTGAAATCTTTTATGTATTTTTCACTCATTCACAATGTACTAAGCACTGACTCTAAAAAATATTTCAGGATGTACTTTCTTTTTGTTTTACTACAGCTCTTTTTAATGCAAGAGTATTTTTTAGATTTAAAATGTTTTTAATTTTATTTACTTTTTAGAGGTGGGATCTTGATTTCTTGCCCAGGCCAGCCTTAAACTCCTGCGCTCAAGCGATCCTCTGCTTCACCCTCCCAAGTAGCTGGGACTACAGGCACATGGCACCATTCCAGGCAGCATTTTGACAAAAATGTGCAAGTCACAAAGTAGAAGCAACTATATCTTTGTCCCTGTTCTCTTGGAATGGACTGTCATGGGTGGAAAAACCATGTTAACGTATCAACTGTAACACTCATTACAAAGGTGTAAACAAATGATAAAAATCGCAGACAGTGAGGACTTACACTTCCAAGATTTTCTGAATTAACAGTAGTATTAATTTAGCTTAGTGAATAGTTATGAATCCACCAAACTGTGGTCATCAAAGATTTAAATACACCATAGATCTTTTTCTTTTTAAATAACATTAAACTTAGAGAACATTGTAAAAACGATAGAGTTGCCTATGTGCCATTCACTCAGATTCTCCTAATGCCAACATCTCTCAAAGCCAGAGTAAAACTGAAAATTAACACAGATACAGTATTATTAACACTAATCTATAGACCTGATTCTGGTATCTCTAGTTTTGCCAGGAAGGTCCTTTTATGATCCAGTTTCCCACATTGCTTTTAGTTGTCAAGTATCCTTTTCTCCATCTGTGACAGTTACTCTGGCTGCATTTTTCCTTGGTACATTACCAAGAGTACTAGCCAGTTTAGTAGAATGTCCATCAGTTGGGATTTGTCTAATGTTTCTTAGGGATTCCATTGAGGCTATGTATTTATGTCAGGAATACCACAGAAACTATGTTGGGCCCTTCTAAATACATCGTGTCAGTGAAGCAGGGGTACATGGTATCATTTTTTTTTTTTTAGGGAGCAATACTTTATTTTTACACACGTTGACAAGGAGGATTTTCATAAATAACCTTTCCAGTGGAGAACAGAGAACATGAAAATCAGCCTCCAGATATCAGTAGCTATGTCTGCTCAGGGCCGAGGCTCCCCCTTGCCCATGTGGTTAGGTGGAGGGGTGTACTTCCCTTCCTTCATCAGTTTTGCCTTTTGCCTCCAGTTGGTATCCATACAGTTCATCTTTTTTTTTCCAAAGTATACACTCTATGAAATCATCATATTCTATCTTGCACTCTCTCTGCCCGGATAGTACCAATTCCATATGCACATTCTATCCATTCTTTTTCAAAAGCATGGCATCGAGCAGGAAACTTGTAGGGCTATTCAGCACTTTGGATTATCCACTACTGATCTAGGTTAACGCCGAACCTTTTCTGCATGTCCAAGAAAGCATGGCTATCCGATGCTTGTGCCCTTGTCTTGTGTAGATGGTATCATTTTGTCTTATTGCTTGTGATACTAACTTTGATCACTTTGTTAAAGTGCTGTCTGCCAGTTTCCTTCACTAAAAAGTTGCTATTTTTTTCCTTTCTAATTAGTAAGTCTCTTTGAGATTATGCAGATACCTTACTAATTTTAGCATCCATTGATGGCTTCTGCCTGTAACAGTTACTACTATAGGGTTTACTTAATCACGATTTTTCCACTTCGATCATTCCTTCTGTATATATTCATTAGAATTCTGCTGTGAGAAAAACTATTTCTTTTTCTTCACTTATTCAGTTATTAATAATTATATCAGTATGGACTCATGGATATTTATTTTATTCTATTGTTATAATATTAATATTATTATGATCAGGCATCATGGCTCACTCCTGTAATCTCAGCACTTTGAGAGGCTGAGGCAGTGGATCACCTGAGGTCAGGAGTTTGAGACCAGCCTGGGCAACATGGTGAAACTCCTGTCTCTACAATACAAAATACAAAAATTAGCTGGGCATGGTGGCAGGTGCCTGTAGTCCCAGCTACTCAGGAGGCTGAGGTAGGAAAATCTCCTGAGCCAAGAGGTCAAGGCTGCAGTGAGCTGAGATCACACATTTTTTTACATTACGGCAGTGCTGGATGAACCATGCTCAACTTTTGTTTTCTCTGCCCCAGCCCTAGACCACCTGTATTTCCAAGGAGCCTTTTCTTCATTTCTTCATCTTACAGCGAGAAACCTAATTATCCGAAATTGATTAATTTGTTTATCCTAATATGCATGAAAAGTAACTTCATAATCACTAATCTATATCCCTGTGAGAAATTTCTAAAGTACCTATGTACAGTTCTTTTTGTCTTTAGCTTTACTGTCAAAACACTGTTTTCCAGTTACTCAGGCTAGTGGTTTATATTTCATTTTGTACTCCCCCCACATGGTGGTTACTGTAAATTGTTATGTGGGTGTTCTGGGAATATGACTGTTGTTCCTAGAGAGCCCACATCCCAAGAGGGACACTTTCGAAGTGTCCTTGCCACCTTCATTCTCTGTCTTCCATTTCTACCCTCTATTGGGATTTCTTTTTGCACAAATGAGCAGATACACGTGTATTTTCTTATGTGCCATGTTTTTCTTATGTGAAGGACAGCATTATTCTTTTATACTTTGTTTTTAACTTAAAAGTATATGCTGATAAGGTGCAGTGGCTCACACCTGTAATCCCAGCACTTTGGGAGGCCAAGGGGGGCGGATCCCTTGAGGTCAGGAGTTTGAGACCAGCCTGGGCAACATGGCGAAATCCCGTCTCTGCTAAAAATACAAAAATTAGCTGGGCATGGTGGCACGAGCCTATAATTCCAGCTACTAGGGAGGTAAGGCATGAAAATTGCTTGAAACCAGGAGGTGGAGGCTTCAATGAGCCAAGATAAGGCCACTGCACTCTCCAGCCTATGTGACAGTGAGATCCTGTCTCAAAAAAAAAAAAAGTATATCCTGGAGACCATTCCATATCAATTCATGCAGCACATCCTTATTTTATAGCGGCATAATAGAGCATGGTATATAGCAACTTTATTTCATCTTCTACCTACGAGCATATAGGTTATTCCCAATATTTGCAGTTATGAATAAGCTACAAAGAATAATGTTATATGTCTATCTTTTCATATTGTTGGAGACATATCACACATCATCAGGATAAATTCCTAGAAGTGGGATTACTTGGTTAAAAAAGTTGTGTAGTTTAGTTAGATATTGCCAAATACCCTTCCAGGAAAGTTGTAGCTTTTTTTTTTGAACTCTGGCAAAATATACATGGCGTAAAATTTACCTTCAATCCCTTTTACATGTATAAATCGGTGGCATTACGTACATCCATATTGTTGTGCAGCCACCACCACTGTCTTTGTCTGGAGCGCTTTTAGCATCCCAAACTAAGACTCTATACCTATGAAACAATTCCTTCCTTTTTTTTTTTCTCCCCACCCTGGTAACCTCTATTCTACTTTCCATCTCTATAAATTTTTGTATTCTAGGTAACTCATATAAATAGAATCATATAATAATTGTCCTTTTATGTCTGGCTTATTTCACTTGGAATAATAACTTCAGGGTTCATACATATATGTATCAGAATTTCTTTTTTAAGGCTAAATAATATTCCATATATAAATGCTACATTTTCTTTATAAATTCATTCATTTATTGATGGACACTTGATTGTTTCTGCCTTTGGACTATGATGATTAATGTTGCTATGTAGAATTGCTGGCTCATATGGCAAATCTGTGTTTAAGTTTTAAACTTTTCCACAGTGGCTGTACCATTTTACACACCAACCAGCAATGCACAGAGGGTTCCAGTTTATTCACTTCTTCACCAATACCTGTTATTTTTCGTATTTTTAGATAATAGCCATCCTAATGTGTGTAAAGTGGCATCTCATTGTGGTTTTGATTTGCCTAATTAGTAATGTTGAGCATTTTTCCATGGGCTTCTTGGCTATTCATATCTCTTCTTTGCAGAAAGGTCTCTTCGAGTCCTTTACCCACTTTTGAATTTTTTTTTAAGTTGTAGACATTCTCTGCATATTCTGGATATGAATCCCTTATTGTGTATGTGATTAGCAGACTTTTTTGCACTCTGTTTGTTGTCTTTTCACTCCCTTTATATAAAAGTTTTTAATTTTGATGAAGCTCAATTTAATGTGTTTTGTTGTTGTTGCCTTTGCTTTTGGTGTGATATCCAGGAAATCATTGACAAAACCAATGTCATGAAGCTTTTCTCATGTGTTCTCTTCTAAGAGTTTTATAGTTTTAGCTCTTGTAATATATTTAGGTCTTTGATCTATTTGGAGTTAATTTTTCTATACAGTGTAAGGTAAGATTCCAACTTCATTCTTTTTCATGTGAATATTTAGCTAGTAGTCTGTCTATTTTGTTAATCTTCAAAAAACCAACTCTGAATTCTTTGATTTTTTTTTTGAAGGGTTTTTCATGTTCTGCTCTGATCTTAGTTATTTCTTGTCTTCTGCTAGCTTTTCAATTTGTTTGCTCTTGCTTCTCTAGTTCTTTTAATTATGATGTTAGGATGTCGATTTTAGATCTTTCCCACTTTCTCCTGTGGGCATTTAGTGCTTTAAATTTCCTTCTAAACACTGCTTTAGCTGTGTCCCAGAGATTCTAGTACATATGTCTTTGTTCTCATTGGTTTCAAAGAACCTATTTATTTCTGCCTTAATTTTGTTATTTATGGAGTAGTCATTCAGGAGCAAGTTGTTCAGTTTCCATGTAGTTGTGTGGTTTTGAGTTTCTTAATCCTGAATTCTAATTTGATTGCACTGTGGTCTAAGACACTGTTTGTTATGATTTCCATTCTTTTGCATTTGCTGAGGAGTGTTTTACTTCCAGTTATGTGGTCAATTTTAGAGTAAGTGTGATGTGGTGCTGAGAAGAATGTATATTCTGTGGATTTGGGGTGGAGAGTTCTGTAGATGTCTGTTAG